AGGGAAGATCGAAGAGCCATAAGTGTCTTGGATCGAAAATTTATGATCTAGAGGGAGAGGGGTATGGATGGTATCAGGGGCATGAATACTTGGCGCGCAAAATTACAGGAAAGGAGAGGTCGGGAGGGTCAGTCAATAATGGCGTTAGGTATAAGCGGAGTTTTGCTTTTCAGGAATGATATCCCATACTTTCGTTTTTTTGGTTTCGATTTATTGCAACATACATAGTTTTCATCCATTCTTTCTTCTCTGTACAATTTTAGATGCACAATCAGGCTTTTTTTCATAATGAAAGGAACAAGCAAAGGGGTATGGCTCGGTGGTTTGTTCGTTTGTCTGTGGATGGTTTAACGTTACATTGCATTGCTATGGAGTTCACTTTTGATACTTCTCTTTCGTGGTTTCTGAAGAGGAGAGGAGAGGACAGGACAGGAGATTAGATGGGACATCATCTACTCATTCTACCTTATATTACATTATATTCCATAGCTAGATACACATAAATTCAGAGAAAAAAGAAGAAATCAATTTGAACAATTTGGTCTTGTGTCTATGATCTATGATAGTATAATCGAGATGAGACGAAATGAGATGATATGAAATAAAACAATGAAAAGAACCCCCAAATTCATACGTGTGTACGTTGTATGCAAAAGATACCAGAACTGGAGAGAGCTGATTATGTGGCGGAATGGGGGGCGGGAGAGACAGAGGGAGCCTAGTGCTTGGGTTGGGGGTGGTGGGGGTTGTAGAATGGGGATGGGAGGGGAGGGGAGGTGATAGGGGCAGTAGGGTGGGATGTGTACTGTGCTGTACTGTGCTGCAAATATGAATATAAAGCAAAATAAAATAAATCAGTATTCTGAAAATATATATGTATGTATATATAAATGACTCAAAAACAAATAAATTAATAATAAATAGCTATACCTACTCCAAGAAAGAAAATGTGATGAAACGAAATGGGTTGTGATGGGTTGTGAGGTAATTTGGTCCCGACAGAGTGGTTCATTCACATTCTGTATCTTCTGCATGTGTATATCTAGGTATATATATATAGGTACATACACCATGTCATGTATGATCAATCGTATAAGCAAATTTTGGGATGGTACTACTGTAGGTTTGCTTGCTTATTATTATATTCGAGGGGTGCGTGGTTGTTGAGGTGGGATGAATGAAGAGTCAAGGTGTGAGCTTGGTTTGAGCTTGGTTGATTGGGTGTGGTTGGTTGGTTGAGAGGGGAAGATGTGGTGGGATGAGATGGGATGAGATGGGAGGGGGGGATATTGGTGGGTTGTGTGTATGTATGTGTGCATGTTTTTCTTCGGGGGATGAGAGGGGAAGAGAAAGGAGGATGTAAGGATGGGGGGGGGGAGTCACTGATGGGACGGGAGATGGATGTTTTCTGTTTTTAAGGGATGGAATGCTAGGATATTGAATGTATGTGTATTGTGTATGTATGTAACGTAGAAATTGTACATAACGTACTAGATAGAAAGAGAGCAGCAGAGATGAGAAGACAAAAGAAAGTGGAGAGGAGTTATTTTAAAATTTGTGTTTTATTCATTATTCTACTACTCTACCTCTCTACCCAGAACTCTGGTAATCCATGATTTGACCGTGTGTGAGATGAGATGAGACGGTTCGATAATTCATCAGATTGTAGGAATAATACATATGGATATCCACGTATATCCACGTATATAATAAGCATAACATAATGAAAACTGAGATAGGGTGAGATGAGATGAGATGAGACGCGAGCCTCATGAAATTAAGTCAAGTTTGATCTTGCCTCATCTTATTTCATTCCATCTCATCTGACCTCCTCTATTCTCCCCCCAAATTTTCGGACGGCTGCTTGGCCCCGGCTAAGTACCTACCCATCTAGGTCTCTCAATCGGATCAGCATTTCTTCACCAAAGCACTTTACCGAATTACCTCACCGAATCTCACCCTTCGGTAAGCGACACTTGCATCCGTAGTATCTAAAGAGCCTAAAATCGGCTGCGTATGTACATGAACACAAACATAGACAAGCATACTCGTACGCACACCCACGTTCCATAAACGAGGTAGTACTTCATTCTAAGGTTCTCTGCATAGCACATACCCCGTATTATCTCACTCTGTAAGAAAGATGAATCTAGGCCACACTCCATCTCTTGTCTGCAGATCCTAGATGTCAGGGACGAATAAATAGGAATCCGATCCGCATGATATTCTGCACGCATGTCCGATTGAGTCTGCTGCTTGGTTCTGCCCCAACAGTCCCATGAGATTGAAATTAACATTAACCTACTCGTGGATATATTTCGGGAGGGTGGTATGCATACAGTATATGCACACGGTATGTAAACTTGGCGCTTGGCAGGGGCACGAATCGATTTGATTTTTCAGGGTTGGAGAAGAAATGATTAGAATACAAAATGTTTAAGGTACACATCTGACTCATAAAAATCTTACCATTACCAACAATTGGCAAAAATGACAAATCTAACCGAGTCACATCTCGAAGAAGAAGAGCAGGCAAGCCAAGATATTGTAAATGCAGACGAGAAGCGAGCAGTCAAGTAAGCAAGCAAGAAAAGGATTTTCATGAAGAAAAAGTGGAGTGAATGAACGGTGGCAGTTGTACAGATATGCAACAATGAGGCGCGTTTAAATTTGAGCCCAGGAACATCATCCGGATATACAATTTCCGGTAGTGAGGAGAGAAAACAAGGTTTTCTCTATTTTTCCATTTGAAGATAGATTCCCGTGAAAATGTCCACAAGCTAAACTTCTTCAACGGCTCCGGTGGCATGGTGGCTGCAATAGTAAGAAAGAGGGTGTGCTTCAAAGCCTGCAACATGCGCCAACTATGCAAATGTGAGCATGCGAGCATGGAAGCGAGGTAAGAAAGGTGTAATGATATGGTAAATTGAGACCCCAACTTTGGGGTGCTGAGTAAATACAGGGGTAGTGCATAAGGTGTGGGTGGAGAGCTCGAGGTAGTATTGGAAAGTTCTTTGGGAAGAGCAGGCAGGGAGTAAGGGTGGATTGTAACATCGGACAAAGTGACGAATAGCAATTTATTTCGAAATTATCACCCTATTTGTGGATTTTGAGAAATACAGAGGAGATCTGGTTTCATTGGTATCAAAATAAGCTCGCGTAAAACAGAGATATAATAAATACAACTTTTCAACAACGCCAAACTTGACTTGAAGTCGAGACAAACATGCGGGGTCGTGGCGCTTAACTTCTCATCCTAATCCGAAGCAAAGCGCAGCGCCTGCCTGCCCACCTAAAACCCGCGCCCAGTTACATAGCTACCTAAGAGGCACAGCAAAACACAAGGTGTTGCGTCTCGGTCGAAATTATCCAAACTATCCACCCGGGATTTTCAGCTCATGTTCCAGATTGCGCTTCGGCGCTTGTCTAAGGCTGGCGGATAAATTAAAACATGCTCTTTTGACTTTTATACTTTCGAAACTTTCGAGGCTATGCTTCGACGACGTATCGGAAGTTGTTAACCACATATTCTAGCAACCCAAAATGGGTAAATTCTCCGATCCTTCCGCATCTTCATCACATCTGATATATCTATCGATGGATCCTTTCACATCTCAGATCTTGGCTGCCTGTAGGAAGTTACTCTATTCCCTGTGTTCTTGGTATTCAGTTGAATTGCCGACATTCCATTATCTCAACTTCTACCTACCTAGTCTTGACGATAGGAAAGTAAGCTTCATCTCATATACCGGCGTGACATTCGTTGGTTACTGAAGCAAGGGTGTTTCGAATTTGGTGAATCGTTATTTTAAATTCGAGGGGTATCGGTGATTGTAAATTACGTGAGGGCTTTGTCTTCGATGTGACGATATGTTAGATGCTACTCTTGCAGTACACAATCACCAACTGTTATGAATGCAGTGCTACACGCTTCAACCAGAATGTTCACGCCCTTTTCAATTCCCAAATCATTTAGTGCTTCTACCGTTGGTATGAAAACAATGAAGAGTATTGAGTGCGGAGAGAGAGAGAAAAAAAAAGAAAAGAAAAAAGTGACCAGCAACACTGAGTAATATTCAGTAAATAAACTATAAATATTCAAACAAATCTTTACTTCTGAGGTCTGTAAACAACCAGGTATAGAGAAACCGACCATATTGATCCACCCGTTCCGTTAACTATAAATTTAAACTAGACACAAACTTCTATACATAACCCGCAAACTTTATGCGGGCACCTACTGTTCTCTGAATCGAGAACGCTATCCTTCGCAAACGATCTGTCAAAAATAAATGACCTGTGATTAAATAATCATACATCACTTCCGTGGCCTGCTGAAAGCTCAAGCTGGGGGTCAGGGGCATGCACATGCGAATGAGGCTGGAATCAGAATGAAACTTGTTGAAGATTCGGATGTGCACCACCTGAACTCAGGTACAGTGTTGTATTTTGGGGGCACACGTTCGCAATCATGGTTTCGGTGAAGATTTGCGGTAAATTTCCAGTTATGTGGGGAGGATTCTAACTTGACATCTTAGTCATACGCTTTCAATTTGTATCATTTAAGAGGGGAAAAAAGCGGTTGATGGTTGGTTGATCGGTTGGTTAAAGGCTAGGTAGTGGAGAGGATGGCGGTGAGCAAACAACGTCATGTAACATTTCGTAAGGAGGCGAAGCTGACTTTGTAACGATTATGCTAAAGTTGATGTAGGCAAGCATTATCCGAAGATAAAATCGACATTAGAGTGTGTTGGATTGAGTGACAAGATGCACTGAATTGTAATAATTGCTGCGTCTCGGGTTGCCTACAGCGAGGCATTTTCCTGTTGCCAAGAGATTGTCGCTGCATGGATTAGTGATCTCGTGTCATAAAGCTTTCTATTCTCATGATGCCCACTATAATTGTGTCGTTCGGGCTCCCCTAAGAAAGCCTCATGGCAAAGCTATCCCGGGGTTGCTGGCCCTCGCCTTGAAACCACCATGCGCCATGTTGATTCATTTCAGCAATCACATCTCCCAACCCACCTTGGAAATGCGACTATCTCTCTGATGTTCGGGACACCAGAAAGATACCCTAGCAATCTATCGAATCCCAAGCCGAACCCTCCATGAGGTACGCTTCCCCATCGCCTGAGTTCTGTGTACCATTTCAAGGAACCAAATTCTTCTTCCCCTGCGTCACCTCGCAACATACCATTCGCCCGCATTGCAGAGATGAGTTCTGGCAATCTATACTCACGCATAGATCCACCTACAATTTCACATGCTTCTGGGACTAGAAGATCGAAGCACTGGACAGTCTCCTGTGTTCCTCCTGTACGCAAATTTTCTGAAGGTAGCATATAAAATGGTTTGATGCTTTTTGGATAGTCTGTTACGAAAACAGGCGATCCAAGTCCGACCTTATTGGCGATATATCGCTCGTGTTCAGCTTGAAGACCTGAACCCCAGGCGGGAGGATGTTCGAAAGTTTGGCCACTATTTTCAAGTTCTTCGATTGCTTGCGCATAAGTGATCCGCGGCCAAGGCCCCTTCATCATACCTTCCCATCTTCGGGTCAATTCATGTCTTCTGCTTATTGTATCTTTCTCCTCATCTCCGCTTCGCTTCGATTCCAATATTTCTCTCCCTACTTGAGTAGAGTATAGGTTCGATGTCAAATGTCTCAGCATGTTTTCCACAAGATCCATAATTTCATCCATTTTTTCAACGAAACTGCACTCTGCTTCCAACATGTAGAACTCGCTCAAATGTCGTGGCGTATCACTTTTCTCGGCTCGGAATGTAGGAGATAATGTCCATACTCTTCCCACTGATTGGGCCAAAGCCTCCAAGTGTAGTTGACTCGAAACAGTCAGGTATTTTGGCGATCTGAAAAATGTTCCATCATCACCTTTCCCAATTGGTCCTTTGTGCGCGCTACCGACTTCAAAAACTTCCCCCGCGCCTTCACAATCTGAAGATGTAATTATAGGAGGATGTGTTTGGACGTAATCCTGTTCAGTAAAGAATTGTGTCAGAGAAGCTATGCTTTGCGATCGGAATCGAAGTAATGCTGAATTGAAGGGCGTTCGCGTTCGCAAATGAGGAATGGTGCGGAGGTATTCAGGCGTGTGGTATTTGTTCTGTAGCGGAAATGTCTGCCAATCCAGATCAGTAGTGATCATCAATGACAACGTATTGCATCCAAGCCTTACATACGGCGGGATCCGCGGCACCTAAAACATTTACTTCAAGCACATGTAACTCATTGCTTTGTGCCTTCTGGTTCGGGGAAGGTTTCCAGTATCCGGTGAGACGTACAGCTGTACCCGTCGAGAGTCTATCGTACGATTAGGAGTGGAAGAGAACTTATTGTATGGTTATCAGACCTTTCAGCTTGTTGTGGGGTAAGAAGAGCTTGTAACGGTTGCACACTTGAGCCATCGCCAATTGAAGCAAACGATATCTTTTTTTGGTTCCTAATTGAACGAATAAAACCATTGACATTGACTTTAACCTCATCTACATTTTCGGGAGATGTTCCAAGTAATTTCGCAACAGATAATTGGGAAGATCTAGTAGGATAAGAAATACTGAAGCTCCTTAATTGAATAAAAGATCGTGCGACATATTTTGATTTTGCCAAAAAGCGGGGTTGTACCATTGTTTCTTATTCGATATTTCAGAGAAGCAGGCGACTTGGCAAGATCGACAAGATTAATTTCAAAATTCTCTAAATGGAATAATTGTGGTTGCCTTTGGTGATTTTGATGTCGTATCAATCATACATTCTTTTTGATGTTCATGCTTTTCTTCGAGCATCTGATATTAGAAGACGTAGTGGTAAGTGAGGGTCACCGTAGCCGCGCGCTAAATGCGGTTCCAAGGAATTAGGTAAAGCATTGCCGAACCGAAACGACCCGAGCCGTTGGCTAAGCATTGCAAACTTTCCATCAGATCTGATTCATGATCAATCAACAAACTAAAATCGTGTAAAAATGCCCACATTCAAGTTCGAACTAGACAGATTATGGGGCTGTCATCTAAGCATATTTATATATCGAGATCTGGAAACTCTAACCTTCGAATCCTCGTCAGGGGCTCATAGCATTACGAGTCTGGGCGTCGCCAAAAGCAATTCAAAATTGGAGAAAATTTTTCATATTGCTTTCTCAAACCTTTTGTTTATTCGTTTTTATCCTCCCTCAAATTTCTCCCAAATGAATTGTATAAACAGGCTTCTACATCAATGATTCCTCTGCCACAGTATACTAAGTGACGAAAGCCTGCCTTACACAACGATTTCTGGAATGTACCCCTATCTGTATAACGTTATACGGTACCGGTATCCCATTATTACTGTCTATACCCGTTATCATTTTGAACCAGTTCGAATATGCACAGACTAATATTGTTTCTCATCTGCCCTTACCTATTCTTATTGGAGAATAACGATGGTTGACAGATCTATTTCTCGCGAATCTTATGTAACCCACAGAATTTGATCAAAAGATCTCTGGGTCGGTCTTCGGTAACATGCATACTTTTGGTCACTTGGTAGCAAGGACTCGGAAGCTGCAACCCATATCATCCGCCTCCAATTCACTGTCGATATGTCTTCAGCTCGGTGGAAATGATCTTGACTCAAAAAGTCTGGACCTAAAAAATCAATCATCAATATGCCTTTTCTTGACTGACAAAAGTTCCGGGAATCTATCAGCTCCAGGTCTGTGATCGAGATCGTGCATCAGGAATGTGGACTAGATCGCGCTCGCAGCATTTACTTTTTTTTGAACCACATCTCTTGTATCCCTTCGTTTATATATACTCGGGCCATGCCCTTCGTCTTGCTGTCGAATATCGCGGTGAATCGCATCTACTATAGCTTTTAATTTAAGAATTTGCTTCGATATATACCCATCTTTTTTTTTCATTCCGCCGCCTTGCATTAGTCAATTTCTCATTCCATCTAAATCCTTATTTTTTATTTCACCTACAGTTTCAACATGCCCCCCTCAAAGCCAAAGCCTTCAGAGATCGCTGCTGAGGCAAAGAAAACTTATGTCCCTTATATACGCAGTGCATGTCCGCAGTGGCCAACTACATCGTACTTATGTCATTCAGATTCTTTACGAGACCAGCCAATTAGAGAATCAAGACAGTATACATTTGGTAGGTATTCTAGGGCCTTGGGAAAATCTTAGATTTAGATTTATTGGCTAACATTTCAAAGCTTTTATGGAACGAGATCCCGTGGATCTTGCTCTTGAATGGACGGCCAGCGAGAATGATCGACCCATTCCAGTCGTCATGCCGGCACATGAAAGACGACCAGGTGGTGATTGGGAAGCTGGTATGCTTTTTCTAACCGGGTGCCTATCCCCTTCTAACTCATTTCCTCAGGTGTTATGCAACCGGAAGAATGTTTAGCCAGACGAAGCACTCTATATACTTGCTTGACGACACCGGCATCAGATAACATCACATCGAATAATTACCCCATTCCCGAACGAGCTGGTATTATCTCTCAGAACGTTGGTAAGTCAACTAGACTCAAATGTGATATTTTGCCTAACAAGCCCAAGTTGTTTTCCGCAATGGACCAGAAAAGTATGAGCCGTGGTCAGAATACAAATGTGAGTTTTCAAAGCATCAACTATGAAGTTCTTGTTAACAAAGATCTCAGCACTGCCCATAATCTCTGTGCCTACCGTCAAGCGTCCTAAGCTTGATAGCTCAGGCAAAAAATACTCTTTTAAAACGGAACGGGAATTGATGAAAGCTTCCATCAAGACCGCCTTGCGGATTGCAATTTTCTACGGTTATGATAAGATTGTAATCGGAACGTATGGACTTGGCCCAGGTTTCAAGAATCCACCAGAAGAAGTTGCAAACATCTGGCGTGAGCTGCTCGTTCGTGATAACGAATTCAATCAGCAGTTTTCGGCCATCATCTTTGCCTTTGAGCCATGTGAAGGTCCCGGAGGCTCCAGCTCTAGCAGTCCAAGTTCCTCATCAAAAAGTTCAAAGTCATCAAGCTCAAGTAGCAAAACTTGTTTCACTCACGAACTCGAAATTTTCAGGCAGACGTTCAAGCCAGCAAATCTCCACGGCGCGTTCAAGGCTTGAAACTTTTCAACGGTGATGTTTGCTTGGCGTTCTAGGTGGTGCAAAGGGTAATAGCTGTCACGATGCAGGCATGGGTGTATTACATAGTGGCGTTTGTGACGCGACAGGGAATACAGAATTCAGACTTGGCTTAAGAGCGGTGGGAAAATGTTGGGACTACTTTATCATTTTTTCTGTAGTCAGCTATTCAATTGCGAGACATTATACTTACGAATGGTTCTTACTACCTGTTACTGAGAATGCCTGATTACTACACATGGATAAATTGGAAGGTGAGACAGGGAGTTGAGGAAAGCTCCTTGAGTGATGGGCTATATGGAATTTTATCCGCCGATTACTTCCTCCAAGGAGGACCAACTAAATCCCATGGCTTGAAATGTAACTTCCTTGGAGAGACCACACTGGTCATTGTTGGACAACTTCGCCTAACGTTGAGTTGACGGAGACGAAAATATCTCCGGTCTACCTTTGATTACTCTTTAAATCAATCATTTATTTATGCGGGATATCCAATTTCAGTCTTATGTTATCAGCTCCTAATTCCCAAGACCTAATAATTCTCCGTTTCCAGATATCACATCGTGGTCACAGCATGCGTCAAACGGAGATTTTCCTGCGCCTTCCTAAAAAGAAGAAATCCACCCATCAGAAAGCTCAAGTGCATTTTTTTGCGGCACGCAACGCAATGATAGTATCACATCAATATGACATATGTGGCTCCAACCCCAACCAAATATACAATCTCCCGCACGATTCCGCTCCCAACAATAGAACTCTCCAGATCTAGTGCGACGTCCAGACACGGCCGAGCCTACTTCCCGGGCCCTCTACTTTGTCTCTCCTTGCAATGTGCAACGACGTTCGACCAAATCGGCGGATCCTGCATTGCGTTACTGTTATCCGTATTGCTTCAATCAATTGGTATGCATGTTCCCTACGTTACACGACGCCGTTCTAGAAGGAGAACGCTCGAATCGTGGAGGGGGTTTTATCGAATCTGAAAAGAGATGTCAAGGCTGCGGGCCGCAAGTGCAGTGTTACACGCGAGATGCCGGTAATCGAAATCTCTGTACCTGTACCAGTACCACGAAAGGTTAAGAGAGTGTGGAGAGGTGAGATTGATGGAGATACGACGTCACAGATAGATGTGGGAGAATGCGGTGAGGTGGGACCGTGGGACGAATATGATCATGTGAAATGATTGGTCTCGTTGGTACGCCGCTAGGAGAATATTTATTGGTATTGGTATCACTATGAATCTTTTTCGGATCTTGACTTAGGAGTTTTCTATCACAGCTGCATAATATGACGGATCGGAAATGTTGTGCAGCATGAGAGAATATTGTTGTGGCATGATCTCGAGAAGCACTGACTGGCACAGTGAACAAGGGGGTACATCCATTCGGCCCCCAATATTACCGTTCCTGGAAACTTGAATCAAGGAGAAACATGTCACATTTTGTGACCACATATGACGTTGGGTATTTCTTAGAAGTCTAGATAAATTTCGATTGATTGTGGGCTCTCTATCGAACACCCAAGTATTGTTTTCTCAATCCGTCGAGCCACTTCATGAAAGCTCTAGCCTCATATCATAACTCCAGGTTTAGCTCCAAACTGGACTACCGATCTAACTAACCTGATCTATAACGCAGACCTTCATCTTTCGATGTCACAAAGGCTCGGCCCGAGTTGTCATACCAGCTTCAAATGCCAGTCATGGGCATGATGGTACCGACTCGGCCTTAATCTTTCGGACGACTTCGGTGGTACACAATTTTCCCGATCACAGTAACTTGCATGTTTGACCTCTTTGTATTCCTGCATATGATGTTGATTGTGCCGCGGACATTTCTTCTCCCAAAAGTAGCCAATAATGTGGCTACATCGTGGGCAGACAGTTTGCACGTAGATACACATTTGCTCTTGCTCTCTCTTTGCTCTTTTTTCTTTTTTTGCTTTTCTTAGTTCTGAAAGTGGTGATATCCTTTGTAATGTATCGCTTGGATGGTTTTGGAAAGGGAAGGGGTGTACAATTTAGAACTTCTTATCATTTGTAGAGCACAAGCCGTGTCCAAATGATTTTTCACGCAACTGCTTTGACAATGTTCTTTGTTCGTGATTCATACTATGTTATTGTCTGAGACTTGTTTTCTTTGATAAAAAAGCTTTTTCATTGTTATCTATTTCTAAAATAAGCTCACTTGCAAGCGAAGAAAGAGATATCGATATCCGGGTGGATATGCCGGTTTCTGCATTATCTCAAAACAATGAGCATCAGAGACGCGTGTAACGGAGATAACTCCATTGCCTTCGTTAGATTCTAGAACCCCCTTTCCTTGAGAATGTGTGATATTCTTTTGTGATTTAATGACTAGAAAAGGAACACGATTCTTGGCATGCTTTCCCATAGCCTTCAAGTTCTTCCCAGAGCTTTTGAGATTCACAAGCGACTTACATCTTTCCTCCTCCACCCTCAAATCTTGGTCACCGCATAAGATATGTGCCTTCTCGAAATCAGATATTGCATCACGTGCAAAAGTCGGACTAGCGTGCGCTTCGTGCCTCCGAATCCGGCCTTAAAAGTATTCGTACCGGAAGTCAAACAGATACCGGTATGCTGTTCCAAATGCACCAGTCTCCCAACGAAAAATCGAATGCCAACGAACGAAGATCCATTCATGAGACGATGATAGTATATGGAGCATGAGATTCTATGAATAGCTGGCGATTATGGTTCCAGTTGCAAAGAATGGACAGGAAGGGATCACAAAATCATATCGTAGATCATAATATGAGTAGTCTTTGGAAAACGATCAGTACTGCAACTCATATGATCATGGAGTCGTTGTGAATGGAAAGGGGGGCGAGTGAACAGTGCAGGAACAACCTCTCGACTCTCGAAGAATATCTCTCTCATCGTTAGCAAGGGGTGCGTCTACACGCCTGGAAATTAAATTTCAAGTAGTGAAATAGAGACTGCGTTGAAAACTTATTGTTATTTTGAGCTCTATTTAGTGCACCTAGATTACATACGAATTGGTGAACAAGTTCGAAACAAACCACTTCTTCAATCTATATAAATCCTTCTTTATTTCTATTCCTATCATCTCTATTTTTCTCATCAGCCTTGAATTCACAGGAATCAGTAGCATAAAATCCTGAATCTGCAAATCCAAATCCTTGAACTCCGCAACCAAAGCGAATTTCAGAAGCCCCAACCCAAAAATCACAAATCATGAAATCCTTTTTCATGATTATCTTCCTCTTCCTCACAATCGCCAGCCTCGCAGCAGCGACCACCGTCCAGGAGCAACACGACCGAACCCACGACATTTTCACCTTCTACCACCACGACGTCGGTGCCGAATTGAAGCCCCACCACTTCATTCTCGACCTCAACTGTTACGTCGTGCCCGCCTCACACCCAGCCACACTCAAGCTCTCTTGTGCTCTCGAAAGCACTAGGCGGGTACACGAGTCCGACAACGACCCTGTCGATTTCCAAATCCATTTCCAATCCAAGGGAGTCCCGATCTTTCGCAATGGACGTATGATTCGACCGACAATTCTTCAACCTTTCAAAATCTTACATTCGCATATTCCTCAAGGAGAAGAGCGAGTTGCAATGGAGGTGGCATGTTTGAAGACTCATCGGGGATGGCTTCATGGACAAGCTCAAGCGGACATTTCATGCGATGTTTTGAAGGTGGAAGCAGTGGATACACGAGATGAGGCCAAGCAATGACGACCCTTTTCTTTTGGCGAGAAAAAAGAATTGCGATTGAGTGGAGCTGAGAATTGATTATTTCCTTTTGATTCGTCATTGTCAACACCAAAAATACCAAATATTTTACTAGAAAATCTTCCCTCCTTAAATAATGTTTGATTCCTCCATTATTAAAACCACCCAATGTACTATATGCAAATGTATCGATATTATATCAGCCATCAGAAATCCAACAGCAACTCAACATTAAATCTATACAGTGAATATTACCTCTCATGTGATGCACCACGCATCGCCCAATTTTGCGAGTAAAGAAATAGACCTTGCAACTGAAAAAGAGAAGGCGAATGTCAAAACTGTAATATTTACCTGATATACCTTTTAACGCTGGCGCTCTCCAAAATTCTAATGAAGATCTCAAATCAAATAATCTTCCAATTCCGGACTTGTAAGCTAGTTAGTTTCTCGGATTCTGTGAGGTGTTCGACTTACTACTCATCTCTCACTGTATATGATAGTGAATATATCTCTAGACAAAGCACTATCTACCACATACGACCATAGACTGAAGAGAATTGGGCATCCCGTCCGCTCTGCCATACACAAGCTTCAGATCGGTGGATTAGTAGTTGGGTGGGTGACCACCAGCGAATCCCCACTGTTGTATGTTTTTGTTTTGCTTTTTATCTGGTGGATCACTCACTCTTTTGTAACACTTCATTTTAGCAGGGCCGACTGTTGAAGCGAGGTAGTTGGAGAATGCTGGAGAATTACAGTGTACATCCTTATTTTCCTCGTCGCTCACACCATAGGTCTCTACGGGTTACAAGATGGGGTATCCTCAGAATGGGTGGGGGAACTATGTTTTACTCACTCACTAGATGTTGAAACAAAGAGATTTTATATTGGTCTCAGGTGGTCTCTCCATATAAACGGTAGCCGCATTGAGAAGAAGCTATTGGACACGAGAGAAGCGTATTCTCAGACAGGCTATCTACGAGATAGAAATGGAACAAGAACGATAGCTATCAAAGATATGAAAGATAGATACCCTTGATACCCTTGCCTCACGGGTGTGAGGCAGAAATATGCCCCCCTCTTCTCTTCCAAGATTATTTTTGAACAATCCTTAAACAACGACACGTATCGCCCACTTATACCCCTCCCTATTCACTTCTTAACCCTACGTATCCTTCCGCACAACTAATAAAACCAACGTCATACAATAATTCTACATGACGACCAAGCTCATCAAGCCTAAGCCAGAAAACGCACCAGTCAAAAGCGAGGAAATCCCGCACAAAATCTCCATCTTTGCCTGCGGATGTAGAATCGAAGATGAGCGACCCATGCTCGAAAAACTCAGGGCTACTTGGTGCTGTTTCATGAAAACAGAAGCCCCAAAGCCAGTCGTTGAACGTCTGTTTGGGTTCAGATGCAAGAACTGTGCTAGTCTCGGTCGAGTGTGAGTGTCTTAAGTATTTGACGCAACCCATTATGTGTTGATATCAGATGAGAAGCTACTAACTTCTCACCTTAACAATGAAATACTAGTTATTATTGAGTATATTCCTAAAGTTATTTCGACATTAACTTTTATGTAGCAAGAAGTTATAGCGAGAACAAAGAAATAGAAGCATTTCACCCAAAAAAAGCCATGATCCATATGTAAAACCAGTGACGAAGTGAAAATGAAACATGTGAGAAGCTAGAATATCAGACAGTAAATTAACACCGCCACATAAGAGCTGCCACAAAGTCCCATCGGAGATACATTCTTCCCAAAGAAACGTCGCTGAGCAAACATCCGTCGCACAGCATTCATCCACACCCACATATTCAGTGGACGAATGAAAAAATTCAGGAGTTTTCAATCATTTCGAGATTATTCCTCCCAAGATGTAAAAATATTATAAATCTAAGATTAGACAACGAGGGAGCCCCTCACCCTGCAAATCTTACCATCCGAAGACTCCTCGGCTCCTCGCCAATGCAGACAACAAAAACCCATACTCGCCATATAAATCCCTTAGATCCAGAAAGCCACCGGAACACTTATTATCCGCGCTCACTCAAACGCATGACTACCAAAATAAACGCTTTTGCCAACAACATGTATTTGAGATAAAATCTTCTGCCCGCCTAGTCTCAACGCCATATGTAAACACTTCTCTCAAAACCGTTTTCCGCGCATATATGCCGTGCATGACTACCACCATCTCCTTCCCGACAGTTCGTCAGTTCGTTCCTTCTTCCTTGTACCATCCGCATCATATACTCATTTGATCCAATTCTTTACCATTTACGACCAAAGTTTAGCAAGCGAGGTTAGGAGGACATGGATTCGTGCGATTCGACAAGCATCACTTTAGTGGTGTGGTGTAGAGTGCCGACGCCGTACATAAGCATAAATAGAGTTGCATTCCCTAGTCTCTACCACACTTGTGTCAACCATGGCACCATCTAAATACTCCCTTGGAGATGGAAAAGGATATACGAGCGGAAAATAGCACGTCTAAAATAGGAGTTGACAAGGGAAAATATTTGATTTTTTTCTTCAGTCAATTCATGCACACACTTACTGGAAACATAACATGGTACCAATTCGTCACCAACAAAGCCCGGGGCTCGGCACACTGGGTAAATAGTACCCGGCGGGTCAGCGTCTATTTACGAAAAAGAAGGATAACTAAGACTCGGGACGACACGCGTGTTTGCAGCATTACCTTGGCAAATTTCTCGACTTCCTACGAAGTAGTGATCAACAAAATTAATGAATAAACTCTTGGCCTGGTTAATCATGAAAGGGACTATATCCATACTAAGCGGTGACAGAGTTCAGCAAGGCGAAGCCGAGATCGTTTGAAGAAGTAAGGATTTTAGTCGGGACCGAGATTTGGATGTTAAATGTTGACTGATTTTTTATGCACGCTAATCACATATACTGTCACACCGCAGTACCATTTCCTCCCCCTACCAAAATCCGACCCCAAAATTCCCTATTTTTTTTTCGGGCTTGAACTACGTCGTACGCTTTTCTTCATCCATCATAACATCATGAAATTTACCAGTAGGGAGGTCTCAAACCTGCAAAATTCGATGTTATTGATGAATTATCCCCGCTATCGTCCTTTTTTCTCTGGCCAGTTAACTATTTCCGCAGATAATGTTAGCACTAACGTTTCAGTCTTGGTCGGAAAAGAGATGGCTTACCTCCAACTGTACGTGCCGATGCAGGTGAACCAACCAATCCACATAGCTCTGGGCCTCATTGTTTCTATCTTCTACCAATAGTCTGGCAAATTCATATTCTGCACCGTCAAGACCTTGTCTTGCAAGTTGAATTGTCAGAGCTTTCGCTCCACGCATTGTCTTCAGATATTCTAGTATGTTTCGTACTTGGGCGCTGAGATGAGTTTGAAGCACCGGCAGAGATGAGAGGTATGGGTCCAATGCCTTGAGGTTATCTTTGTCTTCGCCGAATAAATCAATGATAAGATTAGGTGAAGTTTGGCCGTGCATCCATAAGTAGCAATTTTGTCCATTGTCCACAAGGTATACCCCACCCTCTTCAACTCTGGCGAAAGAAGCCCGTACTGAGGGTGGCATCCTAAGGTGGCCGTCTTCATTTGCAAACCCATCTTCGGGGGCAAGGTTGTGAATTGGGATCATGCGAGGATAAAGGTATAAAGAAAGCTCTAGAGCACCCATGCTTTTGATCATACGCGCGTCGTGAACTCGGCGGTCGGAAGGTTCTTGTCCGCCTTTAAAAGCGCGAGATTTGACAAGACCCAGAATGTACATACTGAATTCTTTGAGGTGCTCTGGTAGAACTAATTGACCTGGAGGATGAGATCCCGAAAAGTTCTTACGATATCCTGCCAATATATCGACATTTTTCTCTGACAGGGCACCTCGAATTTCCTTTAATGAGTGTGCAAGCATTTTTGATGCTGCCTCTTTGGCAATCAAAGTATAAATAGCATCTTGATCCACAAAGTTCATACAATCCTTAGCTTGATCGCTCACGCTAGCGATGACATTTGAGCACCTAACTCTTCGCTCACCACTAGCTGTAGTGTAGAGTAGAGCACTTTGAAAGTGTGCATCCAACTTGGAATCTAGCTTTCCGTCATAGCTGAATAAGACTCCCATAGCTTTATCTGCATCAATAACGCCAAACTCAATATCAGCTCCAAAGGTATGTTGGATAAAATTGCCATGATATGAAGAGATCTGCAGGCCATTGGAACATCGGACCTTCATCAGCGCTTGATATCCAGTCTCGCGTGTAACGGAGCGCACAACTTCATGCGACAATTTCTCATTGTCTCTTGGAGAGACGAAGTTGGGGTAGTAGAATGTTTCTCCTCCAGTGGCAGCAGCAACATGACCTAAGAACGTGGTTAGTAATTCCAGCAACTAGGATATAAGTTCGGAGATATTTACCGATTGTTGCAATATCAAGATAACCACCACCAGGAGCAGCAAGGAATAAGTCAATACCAACTCCAGTTGCAACCATCTTATCCGCTGCTTTCCTCCAGCCAGGGTGTTCAGTTGTAAAGAGCTTTTTGTCTTGTTCTCCACCATGGGGTTTCCCATCATCACGGAGGAACAACCTACCAGGCCCCCAGGTTGGAAGAGCCGATAGAGAACACACAATCTTTCCTCCAGTCTTCTCAAGAGCTGCCATGGCTGCATTGATAGTAGGAAGTAATGCCGGCTCAGGATTTTTGACTTGAGAGAATATTTGTGGGAGTTGACTCAGTAAAGATGTAATGTTGGACTTTGCTTCATACGGATCCACGAAAAGTCCATCACTAAGGGGAACAAATGGGTCCTCAATATCCGGCATGATCAACATCTGAGCTTGATCTAGTGCAGGGTTCATGTTATAAAAGTGAATGTCCTTGTCGAAGGTTACGAATCCGACCTTTGATCCTTCGGGAATTCTGCGTTTTGAAGATCCATCCTCTTCAGTTGAATCATCACCTCCATACAAAGCTGCCAGAATGCCTTCACAAAATGCTTCCAAGAATCCCTTGTTTAGCGCTTCTTGGCCTACATCGATCAAGAAAATCCATCTCAAACCTACCGGCTCTTGCGACCAGTATTCTTTTGGGACCAAGAACTCCACAGTACCTCGCATCAACTCGGGCCTCTGCTCCCTATCAACTCTAGCCCCTTGTGGTGTAATCGCACTGAAGTATTCCGGAGGCACATCGTTTGCATAGTTGCACATATTGCACACAAACTTGTTACCTCCCGATCTGAATACCATAAATGGGTTGATGTATGCACGGCATCTATGACATCTAGGGGGGCCTGTTTCTCCAAAATCCAAAACTGGTATTTCGAGCTCTCCTGGCTGCAATGGGGCTAATGGCTGTAATAGAAGTCCAAGTGGCAACCCAGTTGAATGTAACGCATCTGCCGTGGATGGGATGTTGTTCATTGTCAAACGTGCAAACTTTGGCGAAGCGTTTCCTTGGTCGTAGGCAACGAACGGCACTGTGGCTGTTGGAGGAAGATGATGCTCAAATGTTGGGTATACGTTCTTCAGGTAATACTGCGCTATCGCATCTCTCGATCGAGGTACACTGGGAATTTGATCTGGGTCTACCCGGCCTTGCGCCGAAGTCTGCACATTAGCAGAGAAACTATCCCCGAGTCCAGCCCCAGCAGCATATTCATTAAGTGTGGCGGGATTCGCAGGATTAAATGGCGCATTCACAGGGGCAGGAAACTGGGACATTTGAGGTGTAATGGGCGAATTTAGGAACTGGCCGCCTGGAGACGGCATTGATGAAGGGTCGGCATTGAGATAAGCTGAAGGGGGAACGCCGCCCTGTGGCATTCCATTAAATGCTTGCGAAGAGCCTTGAGCTTCGACAACATGGTATGCGTGCCTATCCTTCTTCTTTTTCCTCGGAGCTGGTTGTTGATTCGATATCTGTAAATTCTCCATGCCGAGATCGTTTGGGTCTGTGGGATGCATCATAGGATTTCCCTGGCCTTGGTAGAGAGGCTGACCCCCATAAGGAGGCTGCTGTTGCTATAAATCATGATCAGCTCATGGACAGAAGCAGGAAATGATCCTTAGAAGACTTGTAAATAGAACAGATTGCCTTACAAAGGGAGGTTGCGCCATTTGTCTGTCGAAGATTCAGATAGCTGCAAGATATTATAATATTATATGGATTTGCAATAGTAGAGAGTCCGCGATGACAAATGTCATTAACAGGAAGAACTGGCAAAAAACATTGAAATATAAGCCAAGGTATTAACTGGATGGAAATGAGGATATAAATTCCGCCCACTACTTCCTTAAGGCTACCTTGCCTTATGTACCCAGTAATTTTGGACCAGGCCTAAACCTTAAATTTTTAGCGTGTTATCACATTATTGGGCACTAGGTCGCGGCTACAGCCTTTCAAGATAGCCTTGCATTGCTCTTTATTATTGTCAACTTTGAGACAAATACATCGTATTGCTTTTCTCTCTTGTATTCATCACAGCATGCGATAACAATGTTCACCTTTTGTTCCTTACAGGGAGCGCAATCCGAATCATCGGCGTCGCAATCATTACTTGAGCTTGATGGAGGGATCAAGGTGCTGATTGATGTAGGATGGGATGAAACTTTCGATGTGGAAAAGTTGAGGGAGC